TCAGAGGAGTCCTGACCTGACCAGTTGTAATTATTTTCAAACATATATTTACCACAAAAACGTCCAAATATCAAATAACATAAATGACAAACAATCAATAATTTAAAATACAGAAAAACACTACAACTTACTGCATTTTTGTGGAGACGCCATCATGACCTCACAAGTTTCACCACATGTAACAACAAACTAATAAAGTAAGCGTTGTAGTCAAATTTTGCAAACGAGTAAATCTTACTGATAAATAGGAAGTCCAATAAGCTGCACTATAGGACGCGGCGATGCTTAACCCGATTAGTCACCGTGTAAAAAATTAGTAAACATTGTCCAGCAGGCTGCACGTATGGACTAAGGAGGATATGACAGATATATTGACAAAAGAAGATTTCCGACTTACTATGGTTGGTACAATACAGCAAAACCGTAAACGTATAGCTGGCATTATCAAAAGAACTCAACATAGGAAGCTATACTCAAATATGTTTGCCTTTACGGATTACGGAATTCTATTCTCTAATGCTACCAAGCGTTTTAGAGTCTAAACTATCAATTGTTACGTTTTAATGTATTTGAAAATAGTTAGTATTAAAAAATTTATTGAAACAATTTAGGCGTTGCCAGACTTCTGTTTTATGTATTTAAGACCTTCCAGACTTCATAAAATCATAAGTGTTACACATGGTTGAACTCGTATTTAATAGGAGATTCCAATAATGACTGAATATACAGGGTGATGTATCCGAAAAATCAAAGTTACTAGTAATATAAGAGAAACTCAAAATCTGTCAACATTGCAAATACCAAATATGGAATCTCCGTATTCCAAAATAGGCGTATCTCAAATTTTGTATAATTTTGTTTAGTAATTTACGAGATAATTAGCCGTTTCCAGACTTTTGGGCCACTCTGTATGTATGTAACCTGCATAGTTGTTGGGCATTTAAGGGTCCCATAATCAGTTTAAATAAACCCAAATAAATAAAGTCTATGTTCATAGTAATTAAACTTTGAATTTTTTGTTAATTTATATGGATAATAAAAGTGCATGTCCCTGTATAATCTTTAAGCAATATATGAAAACAAACCGGAACTGTCAGCGAAACTAATGTTCCAATGTAGCTGACTCCGAAGCCATGGGTTAACGATAAATTGGCGTATTTGCGGTTCAGCGATAGGGGGTGGGTAGTGAGGACCCTAGAAATGACTTTCCGAAGGGCCATATCCAGGTGCTAGCCCAGTGCCGTTTGCTAATGACGTCGGACTCCGCCAGCCACATCCTGAAACGCAGTCGAGAAATGGCTACGGCGATAGAATCTGCTGATATACTGTTCGAAATACTTGCGGTAGCATTTCCGCTATCGCGGAAATTCATAGGTGCGATATTACCGCTTGCCGTCTCCACAACCGAACACACAGGTATTCCTATTTACGTTGTATATCCCGAATGGATGTAGAATTATAACTGCGAATTAATGCTTGTGTGTGTGCGCTTATACGTATCTTAATTCGATTAGATAGCGGTAATTACCCTTATTTAATCTAATAAATCTTAAAACGGTTTACTAGTTAATGGAATCAATCGATGTACATTAATTTTTGTACAAAGTAATGCATTTGTCACTATTATAAAAATAATGATGTACTTACATGTTCTACTCTTATATTTTAAATTCAGTTATCATCATCACTGGCTCGACAACCCTTTTTGGGTCTTGGCCTATTCTAGGATTCTTCTCTGTTATGATCTGTTTCGTGCTCCTTTTCTCCAGTTTTTTATTTTTAAGGTTGTTATATCATTTTCTATTTGTTCTAAGTATCTCAGTCTTAGTCTTCCTCTTGTTCTTTTTTCTACTGGCATCTGTTTGAATATTTTGTTTGGTATTTCGCCTTCTTCCATTCTTTATGCATGTTTTATTCAACGCAGTCATCCTATTTTAACGAATGTTATAATATCCGGATCCTGTTTGAATAACTTACGTTTTGCAGACGATACAGTAGTAATTACGGATAACAACAATGATTTACAGAACGTAATGCAACGCCTTAATGAACGCTGTCATGAGTACGGACTGAAGATAAATTTAAAGAAAACTAAATGCATGATCATGACTAAATCTGTACATGCAAATATCCAATTGACTATTAAAGATACTGCAATTGAGAGTGTTAATAACTATAAACACTTAGGAACATGGATAACATCAGATGTAGACCAAACCAAAGAAATTAAGACACGTATGGAAATAGCACGTACATCATTTATTAAACTTAAAAAGTTTCTTTGTTGTCGGGATATAAGGTTAGAACTACGCCTGAGAATGCTTCGATGTTACGTGTTCTCTACTCTTCTTTGGTTTGGTCCATGGTTTGGAAGCTTGGACACTAAAACAAGTTCATCTGAATAAGTTGGCCGCCTTTGAATTTTGGTGTTACACAAGAATCCTACGAATATCATGGATTCAAAGAATGTCATACATGGAAGTAACTAGAAGGATAGAAAATGAGGCGGAAATAATATTAACTATTAAAAACGAAAACTTGAGTACTTGGGACATGTGATGAGAGGGCAAAAATACGCATTATTACAGCTTTATTATGCAGGGCAAAATCCGAGGAAAGCGAAATGTGGGAAGACGAAGAATATCCTGGCTTAAGAACTTAAGGGAATGGTTTGAATGCAGTAGTGCAGAACTTTTTAGAGCGGCAGTCAACAGAGTCCGCATAGCCATGATGATTTCCAACCTTCGATAGAAGATGGAACTTAAAGAAGAAGTTTAAAGTTGTATTTTCTTTGCCATACCCCGTTTCGAAGGTAGTTAACAACATTTCCTCTCTTTTAGTTAGTGTCCAGGTTTCTGAGCCATATGTGAGTACCGGTCTTATTAAGTTTTAATAATTTGGCATTTTGTTGTTCACTAGAAGGAACAAGCAATATATACCAATTAAAATAAATAACACCGTCCAGAACCCTGTAGCAGAACTTTATTACAAATGAATTGCACTGGTTGGTTGAAAAAAACAAAGTTCTCCATATAAAATAAACTTTTGATCTATTAACAAATACCGGTATGGTCATACGTCACTTAGTTCTAGGGCTTTTAGAACAAGGTATTGGGCAGTGTTGAGACTCCTTGATACGTTGAAATGACAATGAATTAAAAATACAAAGTCTTGTCAAGAGATAATAATTAATTATGCCAACAATCATGAGCAAAGACTGCATCAAAATGCGAATCTCTAGGCTCTTCAACTCCTGTATAATACAGAGTTAGTAAGAAGACTAAAGTGAGAGAAGTAGCCCTTTGAGTTATTGTAGTGATTAGCTTAAAAGGTGAAATATGGTGGAAAAGTGGTCATTAATACTCTACATCCCCTTTTTAATAAGATATTAAAAGAAAAAAGAATCCCAAACAACTTAAAGGAATCAGTAACCATTATCCTAAACAAGAAATATATTATATATATATATATATATATTATATATATATATATATATAATATATAAGGAAGCCAAAACAACAATTAAAGTATATGAAGGAACAAAATCAATACAAATAAATAGAGGCGTGAGATAGGGTGATACAATATCACCAAAACTTTTCAATCAGGATCTTGATGATACTTTTAAAAGATTAGAATGGGAAGAAAAAGGTGTAAAAATTTGTGGACAACGCTTGAACCATCTCTGATGATATCGTATTGATAACTGATAAAAAAGAAGAATTATTTGAAATGATGAAAGAACTGGACGTAGAAGCTGGAAAGATAGGCCTTAATATGAATTACAGCAAGAATAAAACCATAACAAATACATATGAAGACATCACAATGAGAATCGGACAAGATGAAATAGAACAAGTTCAGGATTATATATATATATATATATATATATATATATATATATATATATACATCCGTCTAACAATTGGAAGTCCATACATTACCAATATACCGACAACTCGACGTCCAGCAACAATCGGACGTCCATATACGGACGTCCGATTGTAATCCATAGAAAATTCGACTTTCCTGACATACACAAACATGTTAAATAAATTTTAGGTGGCTCTGATATTGACGCCAAAATGAAATTTTCATGGTATTATACGTATACTATTAGTTCAATAAAATATCTTTTGAGTGCGCCACTATCATTTTAAAATATACATATCATTATGTTAACATAATATACTTCTCCCCATTTCATCGACAATCGGCCGTCCAAAAAACTGGCAACAAGGTAAGTGACTGGTTTATTGCAAATATGCTGTTAGGTATAATACTAGCGGACCAACTCGACATCGAGTTTTTTAAATGAAATTTTTATTTTGCGAGAAAAAATAAGAGATCAATACAAAGAATATAAGCAAGAATATACATAGCATTCATCAATAATAATGCAAGTAAAAAGGGTATTAAATATCACGAAATATTTCGTCGAAAACAATGTTTTTTGTTACAATGTCTCCATTTTCTGAAAACTTTTGCTTGGCACCGGGAGTTATGTAAACTTTTACGCCATCAAATGAGCGGGATCGAGACATTGCCACATATAGCTGTCCATGGGAAAAACAGGATTTGGAAGATAAATCCCAACCTTCTTCAGACTTTGTCCTTGTGCTCTGTTGATGGTCATCGCAAAAGCTAATTGGACTGGAAACTGAAGTCGTTGCATGGAAAAACTGAAGGTTTCTTCCGCTGGCGAAAGTTGATCCGAGGTAGAAAAATGATTTGTCCTGTTGATTGTCCCGTTAAGACCTTGCATTCCAAACAATTGGTATGCAATGATTTTATTTTGAGACGTGTTCCATTTATAAGACCTTTAGCAGTGTTCATGTTTCTCATTAGAAGAATAACTGCGTTAACCTTTAGAGGAAGACGATGTCTTGGTAAGCCTGATCCTTCAATTTTGTTCAAAAACTCTGTAGGCAGTCTTAAATGTTCGTTGATATCATCACTTAGTACTTTATCTATACTTAGATACACACGTTTTTCGCTATCTAACAGAGACAGACTTTTTGATTGAGCTGTGCACAATCATCGTTAGTTGGAACAAGAATAGCAAGTTCTGTAAGCAATCCTTCAGCGATAAAGTTTTGAATATTGCCATATACGAATTCAACAACGTCTCCTTCACCTTTGATATTATTTGGAAGGGTGATATTTTCCCCAGCGGTGCCGTTTCCAATTGATAGAAGATAGTTTGCAAAGTTATCTTCACCTTCGTTGACTCTCATGTTTTTTGATAACGTAAATTTTTCTACTTTACGCCACAAGGGATTTCTTTTGATTGAGCCTTCAACTGTTCTGGCACGACCTGCTTTAGGTATGACCGGAAGTGTTTGTCGAAAGTCTCCTGACATGAGAACAATTTTTCCAGCAAATGCATGATCTGCTTCTGGTTGTCCTCTGTAGAGATCCTTATAGAGACGATCAATAGCTGCACCTGGAGTTGTTGAGGCTTCGTCGATCATGATGATGCTTGCTTTCTTCAAATATTTTGCATGTGGAGACTCTATTGACAGTGAAGAAACAGCATCACCGTTGAGCTGAAGTGGAAGTTTGAACAAATTGTGGATTGTTCTACCTCCTTCCATAAGACTGGCTGCGATTCCAGTGAAAGCAGTTGAAAGACAAACAATTGATTTACTTTTAGCGTAAAGAATTAAAATACGCTGAATGTATATTTTACCGCAACCAGCTGGCGCGTCAATATACATCATTTTTGTTGATAGTGTGTTGTCATTTATTTTTTTAACCACTGTATCAATCACCATTCGTTGTTCAGGCGTTGTAGTATTGTACAATTCTTGAAATTGTACATCAGCATCTTCACTAGACATAACAGTGGTTGTTGGATTGACAGTGAAGCTACGAACTGGAACAGGTATACCAAGTTTTTTACAATCGGCATTGTGAGTCAAAAGCCTTGATGAATATAATCTTCTGCCATACTCAATTTAAACTCTTCCCATAGCTGTAAAGTGATAGAGGGAGAGTTAAGTGCGATGATAACAGCATAAAATTGAGGACATTGTCTTGCAGAAAAATATGAATTGCCTCTATAAGCGCATCTCGCCATTGACTGTCATTTGTTGCGAGACCAGCTGCGATTGCTGCTTCTGCATACGTGTTGTAGATGATCCCGTTGTGTTTTTAATATCCGAATATGACTTCGCGCCACGACAGTGAAGTAAAAGAAGACGCAAATGAAAAAGTTCGATGTCTTTGGGGTTTACTGAATACAAACGTGTCACTGTTACTGATGATTGGTTTCGATCACGTTTTATCCATTTTTATTTACAAATCTGTAGTGTTGTGGAATTTCCGTGTACAACAATTGCCGAGCATCTTCATCTAGATTGTTTAATTTGAACCACGCTGTTAAGGTAGTGAGACCTGGATTTTCTGCAACAGCTTCTTCTCTTTTCATGAAGGCGCATGACTGGATGATCTTGATAGTGCATTTCGAAATCAAGAAGACGCCATGCGGACTCCACTGATGAAATATATCTTTTTTCTTCATAAGATTTGATTTCGTCATGCTCAACTTGACCTTGTTCATTGGTAATGGTCACAGTGCAAGCGTCATGTCCTTTGTAGATGTACTTGTAAATATATTTAATAGCTTCGATACTACCACAGTATTCAACATTAATGTGACAGTCGTATTTGCGGATGAGAAATTTGTTGTAAGGAATAACCCATCGGTTATCCATACGACAGTCTTTAAGTATGAAATAGTTGCCATTTTCGCGTCTGCGATATACAGGCATGCAATTCGGTTTTTCCACGGTTTCTTCCTGATATTGTTTGGAATATTTCTTGGAACATTTATCATTTTCATACATGGGAATAAAGGGTTGAATGTTCTACATGGATCGTGTATCATATGACTTTTTACTTTATGGTAGAGATTTGGATCAAGATCTGGGTCAGGAAGTTCTGCACAAATAACTTTTTCCACCTCAAGTAAGTCGCGAATGATATCGTTTGAACTAACAGTGACAAGTATGTGAGCGTGCCGCAAGCCTCTTTTCTTAAATTTAATCGTGTAGATGACAGTCGCAGGATTTCCAAAAACATGACCTTTTTCGATGTAGTTGCGGTTGCAGGTCATAGTAATGAAGAAATGAGGCTTACCGAATTTTCGAATAATTGCCATAGCGTCTTGATAGCGCTCAATCATATTTCGAGGCCAGCCAATGAATGTTGATGGAAGAATAACAACCCTTCCAACTGTTGTATTTTCTTCGGTAGCGCGATTATAAACATAATCTTGAAGTGTTGTGTAGTTAGAAGATCTCAATGCATTCTGATGAGATCTTAAATAATTTAAGCGGTCTCCTTCAACTCTGACATACATATCGAAAATCTATTGCAAAAAAGTTTCTCGGAACGGTGAAGAAGGCTAAAAGAATCACGGAGTACTATTTGAAATGAAGCATACTGATTCATCGTCGTAAACTTATTTTGAACCTTTGATTCTTCGCGTGGATATAAACTGTGATTTGGGTTGTAATGATTGTATTTCTTTGGCCCCTATCCTAATTCGCCATAAGGGAATAATACTGGGTAGGCTAATGCATCTAATTTAGGGTCTGTAATGCCGATAGTTCTCAAGACAGCATCGGCATCGCGAGGGTAAATTTGTAAATGTTGATTGCCAGGCGGCTCGCCATCAATTGCTTGAAAAATGGCAGCAATGTCTCCTGCAGTTGGTAAGTTAAATCTTCTTTGATCGTTATCGATTTGTTCCACGATATTTATGAGAAAATGTTGTCTATTTATCGGGTCGGAGTCAAGCATCTCGTTGAGTGTTCGAAATTGCTGCATATATGGGTTCCAAAGGCTAAGCTCGCATGTTAAAGTTTCCATCAATATTGGATCAATACTAGTGAAAATAGTAGATTAATACACAGCCCTGCTTGACTTCTTGCCTTATAATAAATTCCTTAGGTTTTTACGATATTGGCATTCATTTTGTACAATACATATATTTTAATACTTTTGCTGAATTTTTGTCTACTCCTCTTTTCATATGTCTTCTCTTCGTATTCTGTCAAATGCATTCTCCAGATCTACGAAACATATGTGTGTGTCGTTAGTCTTGATAACTAGTTTCTCACTCGCTTCTCTGATAGAGTATATGAGGTCTTCTGTGCTTTGATTCTGTTTGAATCCACATTGCCTATCTTACAGCTAGAACACTTAACAGGGCAGTAGTAGAATATTGATGGTATTATGGCTGTTTCCTGCCTATTGGTACTTTTGTCTTTTTCATTATTTCATAGATTAATTCAGCTATTCTAAAATGTCTAAATGTCCTTTTCTTCCTGCGTATTTTATCACATCCGCATTGATGTTATCTTTAGGTACCTGATAATTTGATATTTTACTCTTTATATTGAGTCTTATGTTTAATAATCTTTTATGACTACCATGATTTTTTCTTATTTTGTAATTTCTTCCTCCTCTTATTCTGGTATGTCTGTGTATGTTAGCTCGTCGAAATACTTATTCCCTCGTTCTATTATTTTTTATTTTTCTCTTATTATTTTTCCAATTTTTTCTTTTACGTTTATCATCGTATATTTCCTTTCTGTTATATTTGTTTAAGCTAGAGATTAATTTTTGATATTCTCTACATATTCAGACTAAAAGTCTCCCATGATTTTTGTTTTGTTTTTTATTGCTATTTTCAGTTATTTTCGCTTTTTTTGTATAGCAACTTCATTATATTCAGGGTTCTAGCAATTTTTTCATTTGTGTTTGTTTCTTATTTTTATACTTACTTTCTCTGTCCGCCATATAATTTTTTCACATTATTATTTCTCACCTTCATTTTACCACAACTTTTCCCTACCTCTGTCAGTATTTCATTTTTAAGACGTTTCCATTTTTTATGCTTTTGTTTTGTTCTTTATCGTTTAATGTAGTACCTATAATTTCTTAATATCTCTTTGAACAATTTTTCTTCCATAATCTACAGTTGTATTTTTTTCTTCTGGCATCAGTGCTTTTATTTTAAATTTATTTAAGATTATAGAAAACCAAATTTTTTACATCTTATACAGGAAATACTAGTTAACCCTCAATAGTTCGACGTTTTATGATCCGACATGCGCGATAGTCCGACATTTCCCGTAGATTCAAGAACAAGCAATGACAGACTGTTTACGCAAAAACACAAAAGCAGAACATATAGAAATATAATATATATTTTTTTGTTTATTTTTGTTAACAAAAATGCACGTTTCACTTCCACATTTACCTAACAGATTTTTCATGTAACACTGTACACAAATGTCTTGTGGCCTACTGCTAGCAAAATAATGCCAAAAATTGGAAAATTGTCAAAAATTTTCGTATTCCAGACATTTCCGGCAATCCGATATTTCTTCGGTGCCATGTCGGATTATTAAGACTCAATTGTAGTAATAAAAAGGTTTTTATATTTATTGGTAAAAAAATATGATCACATAAATGTCAAGTATGAATTATAAAAACTTATTTTAGATAAAAAGTAACCCTTTTAAATTTAGATGTCTAGACTTTACAACGAACTCAATCAATCAATCAATCATTGTAAAAAATTTTTTCTTGTTCAAAAAGAACTTAAACCGGAGATAATACTCTCAGATCGTAATACAATACTCGACAACACTGTTGGAGGTCACATTGGTCTGAGAATGAAAATAAATATTCACTAAGGACTTCCGATAATCGTAAAACTAAACTAAATGTATATCAATAGGGCGTACTATTGTTAGTAGAACGAACGGTCGTCATTTTGATAGAAAAGTGAAACCTAATTTTAATATACAGGGACTCGGACGTCCAACTCTCGTTTTTTATAAGGACTTCTGATTGATGGTGGGATGTATATATATATATATATATATAACCAAAAGGATGATAACGGGTACGAGTACTATGTAGTGAAAAGGAGATAATACTGGGAAGTACCCTTTTATAACTGAGGAAGCAAAATAAAACTAGGGTGCTTCGTTCGATGTGCTTTTAATTAAAGGTCTAAGCTTTCGTCAATGATTATTGACATCATCAGAGTAAACTACAAACAAACGAGAGAACAAACAATGAACAAGTGGAACCTAAGTATACAAATTTATAAAATTTAAAATTAGGGTAAGTGTTTTATAAATTTGTATACTTAGGTTCCACTTGTTTATTGTTTGTTCTCTCGTTTGTTTGTAGTTTACTCTGATGATGTCAATAATCATTGACGAAAGCTTAGACCTTTAATTAAAAGCACATCGAACGAAGCACCCTAGTTTTATTTTGCTTCCTCAGTTATAAAAGGGTACTTCCCAGTATTATCTCCTTTTCACTATATATATATATATATATATATATATATATATATATATATATATATATATATATATATATATATATATATATATATATCTTGGTCAAACTATAAAACTTAACAAAGAGAACCAAACAGCAGAGATAAAGAGACGAGTTAGACTGGCATGGGCGGAATTTGACAAACTAAGCTACATTCTTAAAAACAAAAGATATCCACAGCACCTTAAGACCAAAGTATACAATCAATGCGTACTCCCTGTTATTACTTAAGGTTCCCAAACGTGGACATCTACAAAAGCAAACATGGACAAAATCATAAAAACCCAAAGAGCAATGGAAAGACAAATGTTGCACATAAGACTAATGGATAAAAAGAGAAACTAGTGGATAAGAGGGAAAACAAAAGTGAGGGATTTTAGACAAGAAGTTGCCAAATTGAAATGGAGATTTGCCGGGCACAATATAAGACAAAAAGAAGACCGATGCAACAAAATTCTTATAAGTTGGAGACCGTGGGAATATAAAGCACGTGGGCTCTAGGTGGATGACTGTAGCAGCCTACAGAGAAGAATGGAAAAGGATTGGGGAGGCCTATGTCCAAAGATGGACCGAAGAAGGCTAATTAGATAGCTTAAAAGGAGAGTACAGTGCAGCTAAGTGTACACGAGTGCTTGTGTAATTAATCACTGTAAGTAAAAAAGACCCTTGACACATTTTTCTAACTGACTCTAAGCGGTCTTTTATTAATAAAAAATAATAACTAAAAAAACGGAAAAATAATATTTTGAAGTTATTGCGTTTATTGTATAAAATATAAGAACTTCCATAATTATATTTGATTCTGCAGACATGTACCACTTAAGTTTATTAAATAAATTTAAAACTTCAAGAAAAAAAGTAAAAAAAAATCAAAAGAGAAGGACCAAATCACATACACTTAGGAAGCGGCTAGTTTGGAATCTCATGAATCTATAATAGTAAATATCTGGTTTAGTAGCCACTGTAACTTCAGAAAAGTTGAACCAAGTTTACGGACAGCAGTCCACATTTCACGATACAAAATGAAAGTCCAGTAAAAGTCTGATTCCACTCTCAGAGTTTTGCGGGAACTGGACAGATTTATATAATCTCGCCATGCGGAGCGGTCTTCTTAAAGTTAATAAAAAGAACTTTGGTCAAAACAAATGATTTTATTTTTCTTTGCATGCGTCTTTCACAAAAATACGAGTTTTTGAAAGAATTACAGATCGGCAAAGTGAAAACTATAAAGGAGGGGAAAATTTGTATGAACCGAATTAGAATAACTGAAATTATTTAGTAAAAAAATATGTTGTTGCTTAATAGTAACCTTTATTGCTTACATACCAAACAAAACTGATTGATTCTTTTACTTTTTAAACTAAATAAAAATAAATAACAGGTAAGTTATACTTTTTATTTTGGCGTATTCTTGTATCTTCTGTATCTTCTGGACAGTTACGTATAATACATAACATTATATGTTTCATTGTGTAAGCTACTTATCACTTAAAATTAGCACTCAAATTTGCTAAGCAATAAGAGTCTTTATTGTAACCAGATGTAGAAATAATTTTACTTGTTTATTTTTTATCATTTGCACGAAAACACGTTTATTTTGTTCTTCAGTGACTCTTTTAGAAGATATAGATTTCTGAGTGAGGCTATTGATACATTGGCTTCTTCCTCACAAGGAACAGCTGAACAGCAGTTCTTCTGCCACCTGATTCTGGAGACAAAGCCAATGGAAGCGACGAGGATGGGGGAAATGATGAACTACTATTAGACAATCCAGGTCTACCCAAGGAAGTTTCTGGAGAAGTAGAGGTGCACAAATCAGATAATGACTCTTTCAGTAACACAGAAGAACCAGGACCTTCCAAAGCAAAACGAACTAGTAAGAATTTTTTTAATAACGAAATTACATGGAAAAATCAAGAGAGTGTACAGACAATCTCCATCAGTCGCGCCTAGAAAAGTAGGAGAGGAGCACCTTAGAAAGTCACCTTTTGA